AAATGATAGTTAGGGGTTAACAGCGGAATCTAGGACATAGGTGTTTGCGTCCTATTTAGGAGACTTGTGCTGGATGCAACTCCCTCCCAGTGACGAGTGACGTTGTTCCCATTGAAACTCAAACCCAGTACCACTAACCACTATACATAATAAATATTGAAACTGGAAATCTTGGCAGCGTCGAGGCAACCCAGATGTCAATAGTGGCTGATCAATTCACGGTCTGATCAGCGACGGAAATACACAAGCTATACCGTCAAATACTATGCTGTGCTCGTCATACAAGCAGAGGTTGTCGTGACTCAGTGGCCTAGTGGATAACGAGTTGGTGTCTGAAGCGACTGGTCGTGGGTTTGAGTACTGATGGGAATTACGCCACCAGCCAGGGGCAGACAGATCCAACTGATGAGTCCCAAAGAGGACGAAACGCTTGTGTTTTGGATTCCACCACTAGCCATCATCCATCATTATATAAGAACTATATTGTGATGAGTCAATAAATAAATCGGCCAGCAGTCATGAATAGACAACATGAAACTGATTACTCTCGGAGAAATAATGAATGTCATAAAGAGGGTTACCTCTGGTCGGAATAGCTCAGGGATAACGTCACACTGTGTGACGCGGATCCGGACGTCAGGTGAGGTGTCAGTTCCGTCGACGTTGCTTATACCCCTTTGTCTGATGAACGCCAACAAGAATGAAGCCTGTGTTGGGTGAAGATTCCTACCGATTGCCTCCTTCTAACTACGACTCCTATGGTTAGAGGTCTTTATTCAATGGGTTAGGCATTTCCGCTCCTTTTCTCGCGATTGGTTACCACGTCAGTGGTTCAAAGTCTACCATTAGTGGGATACTGACAAGGGACTACCAGATCTCACCGACTTCTAGAATCCCTGACAACCGTAGTTCGTTAGATAAGCTAGAGAGTAGCAGCGTAGGCTTCCGTCACCGGCTACTATCAGTGGTGTTCACAGTCGAGACATTAGTACAATCACGTTTAACTGACTTGTTAGTCTCATGAATCCTGAAACGTAAGGCAGCAACTTCTTGCTACTTGACTGCGAGTGCCTAACAGTACATTTCAGGATCGCACACCTGGACGATGGACATCTCTCTCTCTCTTCAAGAAGTAAGTAGGCGTTAACAGTGACAATGAAATATGTTTGGTTGGTTTTATCTTGAATATAGGAAAGGAAACAGTTTATTGATTTCGTGATCGGAAATCAATAGAATTTATTCATGAGCGAATTGATTTGATGCTCTCTGAAGGCGAGAAACGAAAACCCAGCAACTTTGCTCACTTTCATGTGTTAGGGCTATTGATATTACAGTATCTGACCGCGCAAATCTCGATAGGTGTAGCTGGTCTCAAACTTGTGACCCATGAGTTGTTTTGTTTGAGCTTCAGTTATGTTATTGCATTCTCGGTTAATCTGCTGTGTATGAATGCATCATTTTTGTGCCGCTTATTTATGTTTCGATGTAAGTACTCGCAACGCCACTCACTGGTAGACAGGTATATCCAGCTGAAGAGTGCTGAATAGAACGGAAGACCTATATCCTGAATTCTCCTGCTAGCAACCATCCATCAGGGGACCTTTACTAGACTTAGAGTTTTCGTACTTGCTAGCACTCCTCAACAAGCCGTATATCTGCAACCTAGAGGGAAGTGATGTCCTGCCTGGGTGACATTCGAACCAGCGTCATCCAGTGCTGCGGTCACTGACGCAATTGACCTCCTGCAGATCTTTATATAACCCGGCAAAAGTTGTTATCAATACTTGCGGACTAAAATTCCATCGTGTCACTCCTTCACAAAACGGAACCACCAGGGGAATACCACAACATAGAATTTGACACCAAAGTGCAACGCTTCAGGTCTCCAAGCTTCACGACAGGACAGAGATAAAATCTGGAAAAGTGGAGATATATTGTGTGTATGTGTGTGTGTGTGGGGGGGAGGTGCAAAGATGATAGACTGCTGCCGTGTTTACGAGTGGTCACTGTTAACACAGTACAGGGCACAATAGGAAGGATTAAGAACTCATAGTTAGGGTATCCAGCGTAAGTTCAGAACCTCACAGGCCGACTCACTCAGATTCAACACTAGTACAACCTTGGACAGTTGATAGGTATGTGGAGCTTAACGTCAAAGATGACTTCCACGGTTTCACAATTTACGAAGACTCTAGTAGAAACGATGCCTCTGTGAAGTGGACTTTTTATTTTCTTGGTCGATTTTGGCATAATCTGGTTCCGTGAAGTATTCCCATGTATTCGACACACAGGATGCCAGACAAGGAATGAGTTCAGGTTTTTTATGTACGGAGGTTCAAGCATATATATCACAGTTATTGATAGTTCTCTGAAGGACGACTAGGAAACAAATAGCCTCTTCAGAATCCCCTACTTGTCCACCCTAACCATTCAATCTAACCAGAGGACTGCAGAGGCTACATTTCGTCTGAGAACCATTGAAATCGTGGGAGCACTAGGAAGCTTTTTCGTCCTGGCACGGGAATCCTCAGCTATGCGCAGTCTTGACTCCCCTCCCCTCCGCAGAGATCGAAACCAGAACCAACAGACCATGGAGCCAGATATTTTCATTCAGTCAGTTAGTTGCACTTCTGTCAGTTTGCGGTATAGTCCCCACAAACCGCCGATCTGAATTACTGTCTCCTACTCACTAGTAACATCCTGCTCAATGGATTTCCTGAAGTTCCAGTGAGAAGCCCTAATCTGTGATAGTCACAAGACCTGACGGTATTGGGTTTGATCTCCAGCATAGTGGTAGGTGCCCACAGCTGTTCAGATTTCTTCGGTACTCATTACTCCTCCAACTAATGTCAAGGAGTTAACTTACACTTCAATACTAGCTATAAAATACTTCACAGGTAAATTATCGAAGAATTCAGAAAATATTGTGTAATTTACTTACTTTCACAAAATTTCAGTTTTTCACTCGATTTAATTTTAAAAGAATTTAGGCATTGTAGAGAACAAAGTATCTTCCATGCTGGCATCGTGAATACTGTGTGAGATAGAGGAGTTTCACGGCCTGCCGAAAGGAAAGGTTTGATCTAATAATTTAGGCGTTTCATTGCGTGTACTTCCTACTGATTGTCACTAGATCATATATAGACCACATCAGTAAGGATATTTCAGTTGTATGTAAACATCATTTACTTCTGACCTTGCACACACACACATTTCATGAACAACTGAACATTGAACAACCGAAAGTGAATATGTATATTTATTCTGTTATTTTCATGATAATCTCCCTTAGTCATTCTTCGCGTAAAAAACTATCCAATCAGTGAGCTTAGTCATGGTCACGTGATTTACAAAAGACTGATTTTTTAGTCATTAATGAGTCAATATTTGTAGTAAGATATGCGTTTTTAACAGGCATATTGACTTGTATGGAAATGTGATTGGATCTGTTATAGTTTCCCCTTAATTTTTTGGTCAATGGTATAATAATTGATTTGCACTTCACTCTTCGAGCACCCTGACAATGTCTTGAGTCGATTCATCGATTGGCGCTACCATATGACAAGAAGATTGATTGATTAAGGCGAAATTAACGTCCCTCTAGTTGAAGTAACTAAGTTGTACATTATGAAATACCGTTATATATATTGTTAGTTGTTATCAACTGGGAATTGTGGAGTACTTCATGGGGTGTCTCGCCTCAATGTTGGGCCTCTTCAGAAGTGTGCTTACCGTAAGCTGCATAAATATTTGCTATTCTTTAGGTATTTCCCAACAGGGGTGCCTTCAGAGAATGTACTCCTATGATTCAGCCACGGAATGAGGGATTTCGATGCTAGTTACAGAGTTTTCGTCGACAAAGAATCACGTGTCCAAGGTACGGGACTGTACCAACTGAGGCAGTCGGGAGATATGTCACACCAACCCAAGTCCCTGTTTACCTCATACCTTTCATGGGTTTGTCATTGTGTCTATGTGTATGTCTACCTCTCGCAGTGACTCTGTCCCTGGAATATTGTTTCACTCAGCACTAGGACCCCCCTAAGAGGCACTGGGTCATTTTCTCATCTTGGTGTGTCGATTCACCTATTGTTCACCTACAAAACTAATTCTAATGGCATAATTTCCTTGGGTAGTCGTTCAAGATGTGCTTGTCCATTACTACTGTATAGCGTCGCTATGAGGTACTGTGTTCCAGTTCACTGAAGTAATACCGTGTCGGTTATTCCGAGTCAATTATCAGAATAAACTGTGTGACTCGAGTTTCGTAATGGTTGGCACTCGTCAGTGAGGCCTATCTACAACCGTGAAAAGAACGATACTGTCTTGGAGAATCAAACTGGTGTCCAGAGTCGTCGAAAACAGAAACCTCGTCAATAAGCTATTCATAAGTAAGAGTTTCTAATCAGCGATCCCCAGTCAGCTGGTCAGCGTGAGCCATCTCACAAGACTCATATCCACAGTCCGAGACTTCATAGACCGGTGCTGCCACTTCTGGTTTCGCTCATCTTCAGCCTTCTTCCAACCTAATCCTACATCGTCTAGAGTTGTGCTGGAAGTAGCTGATGAAGCTTTATCAACTCATCGATTATTTTGCCTACCATGCCCAAAGATAACATTTCTCACCAGCTTGTATCCCACTCGGTCATATCCTACAGCCGTACGATAGGATACGCGTCTTTTGATTCACAGTCAATCAATGATGACATCAACTTCAGTACTGTTGAAAACCAGGGGACACTGGACTTTGCCCCAGTGGCTGAATTGTAATATAGTTGACGTGAGAGCTGAAGAGTTCCCGTTGGAGTCCCAGTCGGGTTATGGGTGCGCACGGCTGATGAGCCATATACTAATAGGATTAAACAGCTGTGCTCCCAGGCTTTCAGTGGTTCTCCAGGTTAGTTAGTGATGAATACCAACTTGAAATAACGAATGTGTTTTTCAGGCTCAAATTCTCAATAAAACTGACAAAACTACACATGAAAATAAATGCGACTCACCCTTTAGTTTGTTCAGGTTTGAGCTCAACGATTTGTGTTCATTCACAGAGGAGTTTTCTGTTGGTAAATGAAATTGTAAAAAAAGAAGAATGACCCAACTAACTTATAATGATAAAGCATTCTGTTGGACTTTAGGAGTCAAACTGCAAGTAGGCCTGCTCCAATCAGGTTTCGTACTTGTCAGAACTCATCAGTAAGGCTTATGTGAAACCTTGAATAGATGAGCATTTTCTTAGGTGATTCTAACTTATATTGATAGGAAATCACTGAGGTGACACCAGTTTTCTCATGGTTGCAGATAAGCGTTCCTGATGAGATGAGGTTGTATACAGATGACAAATGGTAACTAGTGGTGGAGTCCAGGACACACGTTTCATCCTATTTTTTGGGATTCACCCAGGGATCGAGGAGTGATGGTACTGCATCACTGTGACTCGAACTCGGTAGTATCCATTTCTTCAAATCCACGAGTTGGTAATTCATTACAAGTTCATACAGTACTCATTCTAACAGGGCAAAGCTGTTTCACTTGTCTTCAATCGAGTTATTGTTGGTGTTGTTCAGTAGTAGATTTCAAAGCAACTGGTCCCAGGTTTCAGTTTCAGTGGGAACAACACTTGTCACTCACTAGGAGGCAGGTACATCGAGCTGACGAGTCCTCAGTAAGACAAAACGTACATCTGCGAGAAAAGAGGGAGAAAGTGAACTTCCTTTGAGAACGCAAATCCTAGCACAATCATGAGCGTTCGAATATGTGACCTTCAGCAAAATCACACAATTAACCGGCACCCTGTTGTTCCAGCAAGAGACAATCTCGTAAGACTTCCTTTTAAGTGGAGGCACTGGTTCTCAATTACTCTTACCAGTCAGTAGATCTCCCATAATTCACAATCCTATTTTGTTAATGGGGTAACACAAAGAAACAATAACCAGAATGAACTGCAGCGAAGCTCTTCACGTTGAGTTTTGTCTTCAAATGAAATCCCAACGCAAAGTAGAACTCACGTTCAACACTTCCATGCTTAAGCTAGAAATATTTCACAGTATTTCAAAATGCAGTTTCCCAATCAACTCTCAGTTAGTTATACTCTCACTATATGTATAACTGTGCGATTCGTTTCAACACCTGTGCTGACCATGTTAACATCCTAAACACTTGGAGACCTGGACAGTAGCTCTTTCGTCCAAGTATTAGAACCGTCGGTAGTGGGCGTGTGCACGACTGCGCTAGGGATCGAACTCTGTGCTTCTGTCAATTGACAAAATAGTGCCGCGTGAACTTTATTCAATCCGTCTTCACATTCAGTTTGATTGGGAGGGGGTGGTATGTGTCATGAAGTGTTTAGGAACTGAGATTTAGAGTCAAGAAACAAACAAACAGTAAATGCAATTTGCCGGAACTTCCCAAGCTGATGTATCACATGATAATCTATAACAGCAAGACTCGAACGCACGACGTAACAGGTTGGATTATAATGTTAGTATTCACTTGAAAACATCATCCCAGCAGATGCTTACCTGATTCTACCACTGCGTTTTAGTTACACAAACTTAACTACTTAATAACTTATCAGTAAGCTCAAACCTCTGCAAGAAAATATCTTGCCTCATTTGTGTTGAAATCCAAAACATGTTAATTAGTTCTGTATTCTCAGATTATCTTGTTTAGCAGAAGTATAATCAGAGGTGTAAAGTACGATATACGTCCAGCGATGATCCATTTTCACTTTCATAGCCTTTAGGTATCACGACACATGCTACTGTCTGAAATGAGGGGAGGCATTTAAATCTACAAACTCACTAAAAAACTAGCTTTTCAGGCTAAAAAATTCTAAGGAGCCTGGTAGATGACATAATTTAGTCTCTTGAATCCTATGTGAGGATTGTAAGGTCAAGTTAACAGGTCAAGGTAGTTGACCATTGTTAATTAGGTTATTGGAGCATAAAATCCTAGACCAAATCCACAGTGGTAGACCGTAGTTAGGTATGAAATTCAGAGAAAAGCTCAGTTATGCCACATAAAAAACCACATAGTAGGACAGGATAGAATGACTGTCTTTGAAAATAGCTTAGTCAACTGGAAGGAGAGACTGAATGATAATCGCCGTGTTTGTCCATTCAACGTCAAACAAATGCAACAGGGATGATACAGTACTTGTTCCAGAGATGTGGATAACTCTACTATCCTCATCACAAAGAAGGAAACAGGATTAGAACTGTGTAAACCATATCTTAAGGTTAAGGAGTTACACGATATGACTATGCCCAATTGATTATGCCCGAAATATCACCCCTGTATGAAAAATCCAGCAAACAAACTAATACGAAATTACAAGAAACCGCTCGAGTGGAATCAGCACACTAGATGATCTCAAATTGTACTCACGAGGTGACTATCTATTGAGACTTCTCATATCAGTAGTATATGCTCTTCTGGAATTCTAGGTATGAATATTCCAGTGTCTCATAACTCGTCCATACCCAATCGCTTCATTCTCATCAGGAATCCGAAAATTATTGTGAATTTCTACTTTGAATTGATTGGTTTTATTAGTTATTTCACTGGGTTTATTTGTGTTCAGTTTTATGCGGCCTGCTCCACCTCCATTAATCGGTTCTACATGTTACCTAAACTCTCAGTTTGTATCGGTTGATTCATCCCCTCATCCCACGCCCACCCCTCTCCCTCACCGGGACTTGTTAACTCCCATGTTCAAAAATCTAATCACATTAAAAAAAGGATAACAATCAGTTTTACTAATGATTTTACGATATTAAGGTATCGACTGAAATGTTCGAGGTTACCAATGTTATGAATATTCTGTTTAAGTAATCACAAGGAATGAGGAGGTAAAATCAATTTTATGACTTGATTTTTATAGAACTCCAGTCAGTATTACCTGACACCTAGTTGAAATTTGTGAACAAGAAACTCGACGAAACCAGGTTAGGTTCAGACTTGAACGACAGTGAGTTGATCAGACCCTCATTTTTCATCTGGTTCTGGAACACAGGCGATCTTATCGGTACTTTTAATATTTCTTGACATGAAGATGGCATTTGACTGTGTTGACCGTGAGGTGTTGTAGTGGTTTCTGATTGTAAGTGCAGTACTGAACAAGAATGTGGTGCTTAGTAAAACTTTCTACTTGAACTCATGAAGTTGTTTAAGAGCCGATGAGAAACTGTCTTATGAAGTGAAGACAAGCAGTGGTATCCGCCAGGGATGTCCACTGTCACCGTTCCTGTTCATCCTCGTTACGGACATACTAATTGACACAACCTTAGGCATCTTCGACTTTACAGGGATTGATCTACTCCCTGTAGGGTATCTTCTTGACTTCGGATACGCATACGATGCTTCTCTGTTAGCCGGACATACTGACACGCGTTGAGCAGAAATTTGAGTATGTTCGGCTGGCATGCGTTTGTCATCTGTTAAAATGTTAGACAGGATAGGGTGTGATGCAATCGAATGCGTCGACCACTTCACCTAATTGGGGAGTTCCTTCAACCCAAACGAGTCGGCTGCTGGCAAAATCTCAACTCATATAAAAAATGGTCCCTTGTGCATTTGTCATCGTGCAACATCTCAAGTGTCGGCAAAGGACGAGTATGCTGGCCTGTTATACAGCTGTGACGCATGGTATTGGAAAATTTCAAGCTTTTGAACAGGGGGACCTTTGAAGCACTTCCCACTTTTTGTTGGAACAACAGTGCGAGCAGTGTCAACGTAGGAAGGCAGTCGATGAGGTTCTGAACCTTCATCGACTGAGGTGGCTTGTTCAAAACCTGGCACCAGTCGATGAAGCGTGTCAGCGTTGGTCTGAGCTGTGAGGTACTCAAAGATTCTTGGTGAAATGTCCGAATACCAGTTACAGTGGCGCAGATATATTCAATCCCTCACCGTCTTCCAAAGCTGGAATATTTTTATTAACTTAAATTTTTCAATTCCTTCTCCATCCATACAACTTCTCCTACTAATGGGAACTTGAAGTGATGCACTTCTGTATGCGAGACTTTCTACGTTGGTTAATTCTGTTTTCCTGTCTTTCTGCCCGTCAATATCACCTCTATCATGTAAAAAGGTAGAGAGCCTTCCTAATGCTATGGTGAGTTTCTTCTCTTCTGTACCGCCAAGTGTCAATTTGCGCATGAGATAGCGTCAGTGAGCATCTTACAAGAAAAAGCTGAAGTATATCAATTAACAAGTACATATAATCCAAATGACTCAGTGAACGGTTAGAGCAGAACATATAGATTGGAACAGTACGGTACTGACAGAATCTGTTGCTGTTTGAAAAGTCATATCTTCGGAGAAATCAGCAACCCAGAGATGATGTGCAATAAAATGTTAGAAATAAACAGGAAGAGAAAATAATTCGTCGGCTGGATCCAGTCACACACAGTCAACACTAGTCACACAATAAGGATGCGACCCAACGCTCTTCTACCAAAGAAAATGAAACATCAAATAAGTGTGTGTGTGAATACGTCGCATTTGTTTGTTGATCAGAGGGAATCGACTGGGAGTATTGTCCAGCCCACGTCCCGTGCGTACTGACACTCATTAGTCAGTAAGGCGCATCTGTAACCTCGTCGGAATTGATGTTCCGTGCCAGGTTCAAACCAGCACTACCCTATACTACAGTTGGAGATGTTACCATTGAGTAATTCAGAAGGAGACTGATCTCCTCCATGACTGGATTGGACACACTAATTGGTCACTGAGGAGTAACCAATCTCGTGTTTTCTAGTCCTGAATCCAGATCGAATTCTATTGATCATTTTCAGCAACCAACCTAGGACACTCATCATCGCCGTGCACTTTGATGGGTGTTAAGTGGTTGCAGATAGCAGGCAACACCTTGGTGGTAAGGTGTCTGCCTGCAGCACTGAATAACATGGGTGCAAATCTCGCAAACGTGATATGCGTTTCCTGGATGTTGCACATAAGCTTTACTGTGATGAGGCCTACAAGCATGAACCCTACCTATGTCCATCAGGACTCCTCACCAACTACCGCCAGCCAATCAAAGTACACGGTGAGGATGAGT